AATTTTGGAAAAATCTTTTCATCTTTGGCATTCTCATAGCTAAAATGAAATATGGTTCTTTTACCATTTGTTATTGTACATATTCACTGGGTGAAATTTTCAGCCTGTAGTTTATACACTAGATTTATGAAATTATAAATTTCATTCTCCTGTCCACTTTTTCTGGAATTCTTATTCTCAAATTCTCTTAGTTTATGCTTTCTCTTATTCTTTTTCTCACATTAAAATAATCACTTTGATGTTTTCTATTTATTAGGAAAATGCCTCTCCTTTTTCAAAATGTGCCTTGAAATATTACATGTAAGCACTTATCGTCTAATTATTTCATTTTCCTAATATCTAAGCCCTTTGTGTGCGGTCAGAGCTTGTTTATTTAGGACAGAACTTTCTAACCAGTGTTCTGTGGACCAATGGTGTGTTGTGAAGGTGTTTGCTAGGAGTTTGATTGTTTCTGCTCATGAAGGCATTGGTTATGCCTTGGGGCCACCAGGGCCATCGAGCCAGTAGCATCCAGTCAGTTTCCTTCTGTGTGCTATGCAAATTTTCTCATTATCAACACACGTTGTGATATGATAATATCAGTATGTTATTAACATCTAATTATGTGATAAAATGTGGTGTAAAAAGAGGAAGGATTTATTTAGGATTTTCAGATGTGCACTGATATGAAGTAATTAAATTTATTACTTCTGAGTTTGACAATATCTAAGAAGACTTTCCTTTTATGTTTCAATTTTATCTTTATCTCTCCACTTTAGACTATCTCTCTGATGCTAATTCTTTGAAACTCCTTTATTTACCCATTCTTTCACTGAGTATTGTTTTTGACACTATTCAGTATGGTTGATAAAAAATTTAAGCAAGATGTTCATGATTTCGTTGATAGCTATGGGAAAATTTAAAATGCATAACCATATACAAAAGTTTTAATGAATTTAGTATTATAAGTAAGTGGCTGAAAGGACAAATTAATTCTATCTCTGCATGAACATCGATAGTAACTTGAAACACTTCTGGTGGTTTGAAAAAAAATTTTCCTCACACAGTTAAAATCTGGCCAACTTGTGATTTTTTTTCACCCAGGTGTCCCCATTCTGCCCCTGGCGACACTGTGGACCTATAGCTTACATGATGACCTTCAAAAATTGGAAATCGGCCATCGTGTCACTCCTTAATCTTTTCTTCTTGCAATTGAACATACGCCACTTCTTAAACTTGTCCTCTTATAACACGATTTCTCACCATATTTCATTTCATTCATTTCTTGGCCAACTTCCCCTTGTCTTTTGTGTGCTACTAAATGTCCCTCTTGGCATCTATAAATAAATTATTGATTTCTAGAGGAATCACTACCAAGTTGTGAGAATGTACTTTTAGTATGAACTTAGAGCCTGTATTAACTCTTTTAGGTAATTCATTATATTGCGGGGGCACCATAGCTAGGAATAAAAACACTATTGAGCAGTGTGGGGAGTAGATAGCATAAGCAAGGACAGCTCCAGATACTGTCTTTTTTCTCTCAGCCCCAGGTCTTCTTTGAACATTTTTCCATTAGCACTAATTAATGAGCCCCCATTCATTGAGCACTTGATCTAAACAAAAAGTCTGAGAGTACAAGATAAAAAACAGGTACATTAACATGAGTCTGAAAAGAATGCACTATTAGCCAGGTCTGGGGCAATATCTTGCAGGCAAAAGATTTTGTTGCAATATCCTGCAACCAGAGGTTAAGTTCTACAGTAATGTTCACTATCCTGTGTACCAAATCCAAGGACAAGAGAACATATGCTTTCCTTCCTGTTTTTTCCCACAATTTTGTTTAATAATCGTCCAGATTATTAAAACATTAATTTCTTCGTATGAAACTTAGAGATTTCTTAGTTTTCAGGCTTTAAGAAGATAATTAGAACTTAATTGCAAACACCTCATCTGTTAGCTCATGGATAGAATACATCACTAACAACAGTAGAAGATAGCACCTGCTTTTAATTTTCTTCAGTTTAGAAAACAATTTGCAATGTGTTCTCTAATTACAGAATATATCTTCATAAAAAGTTAAATTTACTCATAATCCCAACATCTAGTAACTATGTGTGATTACACTTTTTAAAGTTTTTGTCGTCATTTCTATATAGATTTAAGTAAATTATGATCATGCTATTCACAATATACTGTAACATGGTTTGTAAAATTTAACAATATATAGTGATAACCATAATAAATATTTTTATTGATGTACTTTTAATAAATACATGACCTTTCATGTAATAAATGATCACATTAGCCAGTCAATTATTAATGGTCCTCTAGTTAATTTTAAGCATCCACCATTATAAATAGGGGCACAATGTATATCCCTGCACGTACTAATAGATTCGTATTATAGAATTAATTCATTTGTAGACAAGTATTAAATATTTAAAGAGAATAGCATATCTGATTATCTATTTCTGATAGGAAAATTAATATATTTTAGGTGGTACTCATATTTTAATCAGGAAAACATAAGATTAACATTCCTCACTCTAAATAATGTATTTGTCTTTTATCTCTTAAGCAGGTTTTCAATAAAGGAATGAGAAAAGTAATGCCAGCATTTTCTAAAAAGTAGAATTTGAACATTGAAAGTATGTACTGTCTTAATTTCTAAACCAAAAAATGTGTAAGGGCCACTTTTCCTTTAAATATTATCATAATTTAGCAAAGCAAAGTGGGTAGAACAGGGATGTGATTTCTGGCTCAAAGGCAGGGGAACATTACGATTCAGATCAGGAGGCCCCCTAGTCTCCAAACACAATCCCTCACCTGTCACTGCCGGTTTTAGCAAAGCTGTAGTTGCCCGAACCTGTAAAGAGAAAAGCAGACGGTGCCTTTGTGGGGCTTGTCTATTGAAAGAAAAAATATTACCAATTAAAGTTTCTAAAGCTAGACTCTTGAAGTTGCTGTTACAGAAATAATGTAAAACAACATATTAATATTTTACCTAAAGAAGCCTCTTTCCAGTTTACATATGTACACGTGATAACATATGCTTCCTACACCATCGATATCTTGAATGTTGAACAAAATCAGTGTGGCATCGTCTTCAGCTCTTTTGCATTCTAGACATTTCAAAAATTGTATGTTTTTTTTCCATATTCTCTTTTCCCTTTGCTGTAGGAAGTAAACATATCCATAAACACAACACTACTGTTTCTTAATATAGACGATGAAGAACAGCTACTTTTGCTAAAAACCATCTTTGTATTAGCATCAGAGACCAGAGCTGCTTTTCTTAATATATCAGTTATCCCACATTGACAATGTTTGATTTTTATTGCTCTCAGAATCAGGTAAAGCATCAACTGTAGTCTAAGACACTTTGTCGAAACTGTATTTGACCAACAAAATATAATTCTCAAAGCTCATTCTATGTTTCAGGAACTATGGGAAGCAAGTTTAAATGATTGACACTTAAATGAATCAACTCCAGAAAAATATCATATTTTTCTCTTTGCAAAGCATAGTAAACACTTATACTCGTGCACGTGTGTATGTATGTCCTACCTGTATTTCTTCCTTTTTCAGGATCTAAACATCTACTATATCTTAATTGTTAACATTTGTTTCCCTCACACATCTCCCCATCCTTAGCACCTAGCACAGCCTCTATCACAAACATTTAATCAATGGTTGCTTAAATGACTGAATATTTTATGGATGAAACTCTTGAATCTCTCATCTATGTTATAAATGTATAAAATTAGTGATGTGGTATAACAGTGAATGGAAAATAAGAAGATTAAGAAGAAATACAATCTTACTTTCAGCTAACTATTATTTTAAGAAAGAATTTCAGTTGGTATATTTCTCATATGATTTCACTATTCTAATTTCTGCTCGGCTTCAAACTCAATGCAAGGGGATAAAATTAATTATGTGTTTTACATTTGTTTTATTTGCATTTCTATATTAATGAATATCCATAATAAACACCCGCATCCAATAAGGCAGAAATTTAGAGATAGAGTGACTCTACATATGTAGGTTTTGGAGCACAGATTTATATTAAGTACAAAAATGTTTGTAATTCCCTATACATTTGAAAAGTAGAATAACTCAATAAAGCTCATTTTATAAACCTGTACTAAAAATATGAGGATATTGTCAAACTTAGATTATGCCAGTAAATGTAATTAGCGTTATTTAGAAAAAAGAAAAAATAAAAATAGAAAATTTAAAGAAACATATTAAAGTAAGAAAGTAAGTTGAAAGGAAGAAAAATTTGATGTTTTACAATTGGCGTATCTGTTGTTAATGTTATCTAAATTATATAAAAACTATTAGGTCTTCATAGAATATCAACTAGATTGTCAGAATTCTAATATATGATGATAATAAGTCTAAAAAACATACCTAGAACACCTTCTCAAGTAATGTTCCACCAGTCCTATCCTGAACTGTTTACATATATTGTAATTGCAATTTATAATTTTATATTAAACATAAAATTCCATTTTATGTTTAGAGTCAGCCTAACATTTGAGATAAAGGAGAATTTGAAAAAAATTAAGAGTGCCGGAAAAGACATCCTTAGATTTGATATGACATTCCTGTACCCTGTTTTTCATACAACAAGGTCAATTTATAAATGTAGAACATTCAGATCTAGCCATATTTTGGGAAAATTCAACAAAGAAGTATTAATATTGCACCCTTCATAGACTCAGAATTTTTTAACTAGAAGCTGCTTAAGATAAAATCTTTTTGCTCTCCATTATAGAGATGAGGAAAATAGCCAGAGAATGTTAAAAAAAAATAAAATTAAATTAACATGGCCTACACTATCACAGTTGGGAGGAGAAATGAAATCCTCAATCCAATTATTCTTTCCCCTGACCAACATGAGAACTTCACTTCATCAACATTTCTTACATGGAGAAACCATGAGGGCTGTTGAAATGGATAATGAGGCAAACACAATAATAATAATACTACAATGAATTGATTTTTTCTTCTTTTTCTGTGTTTTTTGAAATAATAAATAATACTGTACAAGTCTCGTCAACAGACTAAACAATGATCAGAGTCAATCTTTGGATTAAGTTATCTGGTTTCGGATGTGGCCAAAGTAGCTGAATTTATCTGTATGTGAAACAATATAAACTTTCTACAAGCAAATCAATATTCCATGATTATGGTTGCTAATTGCACTTAATTGTCTTTGCTAAATGTACCTAATCAATTATTTGGAAATGGGGGCTTGTATGTGGCTAGAGCAAATCAAAATTTTAAAAGATGGGAGGAAGGAAAGGAAAATAGAAAAAAGGAAAGAAGAGAGAAAGATAAGATGGACAAGAAAAGAGAAAACTAGGAAAGACTCCAAATCTCTGCTTAATTGATAGCTACTAATTTGAGTTCTCTTGGACTTTTTCCAACACTGAGTGCTGAGCAATTTAGCTGAACATGACTGTTATGCAAACCTGATATAACACATTCAATTTTAAATCTAGTGTAGTTTCTTGGACTTCAGGTTAACAAAATCATATTTAAATTTTAACCAATTTGAAAAAAAAAAGTAAGAATGATTACAGAGCTAAATTCTGTTTAAGGAAAAAAATGCATAACATGTTAAAATGCTACCTGTGATAACATTGTTAATGCCATTTAGTTTTGTTTTTTTTTTAAGCTAGTCAAGTGCATTTAGTTTTGCTTATTAATAGAAACCAATGATTGATAAATAGCTTCTGGTTTAGTTATACACATATTTAGCAAAGTTCAGAGTGATTTGCTTATCAACCCTGGTGATGAGCTGTCTTGTTGGTTTATATTTTTCCTGGAATGCATCAAACCCCCCCCTCCCCCAGAGAATCCTACAGCAGTAGAGTGGATGGTTGGTTTCATGATGGCAGTGGGAAAAAGCGGTATATTTTATTGTTGTCATTTTTCTCAGTTTCCCCAATTACATAGTCAGTTACTTGGGTCAGATATTAATATGGATTTTAAAATAAGCTTTCCTTTTCTGGTTTGTTTTTATTCATTAGGGTTTTAAAAGCCGCAAATTCTTCTTGTGGAAGAAGCTCATGATATATGTCAAAAGTGTTTATTTTTAACTAAATATATGA